ATATGAAGAGCCACTTACGTGTTGATGGTTTTCTTGCTCCTCCGGGGTGGATGATTTGTCAAGAATTAAGAACCATACTGGGAATAAGTATGATGAGAAGGAGATCCTGCAGCTTCTTCAAAATCAAAGGGCCTTTTATGGTTTGCTGCCAAGGTCAGTGGGCAGTGAATTGCTGCTTACTGCAGTCAGACAGTGCACACTGACCTTGAGCTAACCCCTCTGTTTTGAATGCAGGGGTTAGCTCAGGTGAATAGGTATTTACTATTTACGAGGTGCTTCTGTGAACGGGTTCGAAAACATGTCGGTTTTGAAAGCCAGCGTAAACATCCTGTAGCTGCTGAGAGACAATATGAGCAGACATAGAAGGAAATTGACTGTGCTCAGCAGCTGAGGCAAGAAGAGAACAAGACACGCTGTGCTTGATTTCCTCAGACTGTAGGATGTACAAATTCAGACACTGTTATCAGCTGGTCAACGAGTCTGCTGCTGATTCATTCAGTGGGGACGCTGTGTTCAGTTTGTGAAAAATGCAGCACAGCTGCTTCTCTACTCGGCCACCACAGACACAAATGCAGACATTTACAGTTTAAGTGGCATGTTAGATTTGTGCCAATTCAAGACAGTAAAGAGAGACCTGGATAGACTAGAAGGCTGTTTTTGTCCTGCAAGAATAAGAAATGTAATAGTGTCCTGTGCATTTCTGCCTCCTTCCCCATCTGTTTCCAGCTCTGTGGGGAAAGATCATTATCAGTTATGTTAATTAAAGAGTCAGCTCTGACTGACCACTGATCCTTGGGTTCCTACAAATTAAAATTGAGTTAGTTTTAGTTTAAGTGTGTGAAATAAAGTCTCTGACACTTCCCTGTTCCTTTAAGACTGTTTATCTGCAAAGTAAATTTTATATATATATTTTTTAACCTGATAGGGTGGCCCAAGGGAAAAATGAACTGGTGGCTCCTCATTAACTTCCTGTTCTCCCAACCCTGTTTGTAATGTGACCTCTGCCACATCCCACAGGTTTGCTGTGGGGGTTATTTAATTTAATATTAATAGGAATATCCAAGAGTAAAAGCAAAAATGGTAAATAGACTGGTTCTTATATAGCGCTTTTCTACTCTTCTGAGCACTCAAAGTGCTTTATACAACTTGTGCATTCACCCAAGCACATTTGTCTAAGTGCATTTTTAGATAACATTCACACACATTCATACTCTGATGCATCGGAGAGCATCTTGCCCAAGGATATTTGGCATGCAGACTAGGGGAAGCCAGGAATCAAACTACCAACCTTCCGATCAGTAGATGACCTGCTCTACCGCCTGAGCTACAGCCACCCTACAAAAGGATGCGAGTCTTGAACAAGGACTGAAGCAGGACATATTTTTTTAGCATATTTATAATGCTACACTGTCTGATGCTAAGATGGCTCTGTGGTGAAGTTGTTTACACTACGCCATTCACACCTTACACACAAAAGAAATCCAGTTTTAGTCTGGGAAACATAACCCTAGCATTAGTGGTCACAACCTGGTATACTCCCGATGGTGGTCCCAAGCCTGGGAAAATGGGAGGACAGCACAATTAAATCTGTGCGAAATCAAACATGTGGATTCCTCTGCTGTGGTGACATCTCCCCCTTTGCAGTTATAACAGCTTCAAGCCTTCTGAGAAGGCTTTCCACAAGGCTTAAGTCAGTGTT